TTTTTTCCAACGGCCTACCTCCACGAATTCTCCCATCTCAGCTCCTCCCCCTCTCCCCCTCTCACCCTCTCACCCTCTCACCAACTCAGACAATGGCGCCAGATGAAAACACAGTTCCTCTCCCTCTCACCCTCTCACCCTCCCAAAACCTATCATTTCAAGCACTTCTTTCCATCTCTTAATATTCTTGAGAACTAGATTACCAGATATGTTGCTACAAAGGACCTTCCTTCTGGTTTCTTCACTGTGTACAAATGAGTAAGCCTGAGAGAGAGTCACACTGTCTCTAGTCAAAATCTGCTGCCTCACAATATCATATTCTGAGTTCAGTCCCRCYAGGAACTCAAACACTCTRTTTGTCTCGATGTGCTTTCTATGGGTCTGAGCATCTTTGGGACTCTCCCACTCAAGAGTCTCTAAGTGATCAATCTCATGCCACAGGGACTTCAAGGTAGAGAAGTAGACCGATATCGGTTTCTCTCCTTGTTTAAGGGTGTTCACTTCACATTTCAATTCATATGCTCTGGCAACATTAAGGGGTTGGGAGTAAGTTTCTTTCATAACATCCCATATCTCCTTAGCTGTCTTTGCCCACAAATAATTCCGGMTAATAWGAGGCTGCATAGAATTACACAGCCATGTCATAACCAAGTAGTTTTCTTGCATCCACTTGGTATATGTCGGGTCTCCCTTGGAAGGTTCTTTCATATCTCCAAGGAGGTACCCTAATTTACCTCTTCCACCAATAGCCATCATGGCTGATTGAGCCCATTCCAAATAGTTTGATCCATCAAACTTTACGGTCGTAATCTGACCACCCATCTCAGAAATACCACCATAACTGATGTTCCCAAGATTGCCTTCTGCCTGAATTTTAGACTCCATTTCTGTCAAGTCTCAAAACAATACTTGAATCACCAATCACCATCAAAACAGTATAGGCCTGATCTRTATTCTCAGTGTATGTGCACAAAACCGAAGTAATTCTAATCTGAAACCAACTAGCCAACATAGCAGTAGCTGCCTGTAGATCTCTAACCCCCTTAGAACTCTGAGAACAACTTTAAAACAAAACTGATATGCTAGGGAAAGTTAGGGTTTTAATCAGTCCT